CGCATGACTCACCAATTTCGGACACGTGGCACTCTTTCAGCGAAGGTGACGTGGCAAAAACGTGACTATGCGAATTTTCTCGATTTTCGCGCCAAAACTTCTAAAATCCATAACTTTCGCATACGAGCTCCGTTTTTGACGTTCTTTATATGCACGCGTAGGTAAAAATTACGCTCTACAACTTTCGTTTAGACTTCGTCGGCTAATTTTCACTTTAATTTTTATATTATTATTTTTAACAGACCGGGACAGGAAATCCATTAAAAATTCATAACTTCTTCATCCGACGTCCGTTTTCGTCAGACTTTTTACCGTTGTGCTACTAATGACGAGACCTTCGATTCTCGTTTAGGTCGTGTCGGCTAAAAATCATTCGATCTAAAATTCGAGTTTTTAGCTGTCTACTGCTAAGCTGAAACTTCGAAAAATCATAACTTCCTCATACGAAGTCAGATTTGGGCGTTCTTTTTATACCTACTCTCGGTTTAACGAACACTACAAGTTTAGTTTAGATCACTAAGGCCAAAAAGTAGTTTATCAAAAACTCACTTTTTACGACATTCGGCCCCGTGCCGGTTTGTCGCGAAACTTCGACAGGTCATAACTTCTTCGTTATAACTCGGATTTCGGCATTCTTTATATATCCGTAATCCTTGTCACGCCCACTACAAGTTTCTTAATAGATATCGGCTTTATCTAAAATTTAATTTTTGACGCTCATTTTTATTCTTAATTAATTAAGCCCTAATAATTAAGCATAAAACACATAATTCACATAATATTCACATAATTCCTTTTCATTTCTTCAAAATGAGTTACAAAGGTTAACCTAGACTATAATGTCAATATAAATGCCTAGCCTAGAAACACGGGCATTACAATTTTCTTGTCCATTACAATTTACATTCTTGCCCTTTCTCCTTATCTTGCCTCTAAGGATAGAATTCATGGTCTCAAAGTTGACACTTAATCATTTTTGGACAACAGTTACACATTTTCAACTCATTCCATCTATTTTTTTAACTTAATAAACATCCAAATTTTGGGATGTTAACATAACATTGAAAATTAACGGAGAGGACGGATGTGTGTTATATAAAAATTAAACAAAACTATGGGTGACACACCGCTGTTGCTGCATAAAAACTTACGTATGTATAATTAACAATACAATTTGTAAAAACACACACACACACACATATATATATATATATATATATATATATATATATATATATATATATATATATAACAAAAATATAAAAGTATTAATTACGTAAAAAAACTAATTTTGTAAAAAAAATATAAAAAAATAAAGGTTTAAACTAAAAAGTAGAATTGTAAAAAGGATATAAAAAAATATTTGGATGAATTCATAAAAAAAGTAAAAAAAATGTAAATAAAGTGTAATTTTTTAAAAGAAAGTTTTAAGAAAGACAAAATAACATGATTAGTCCTTGTGGCAACCAAATTTAACACACTAAGAAAACGTTGGAAACCTTTATATGTCTGGTCTAGTGGTTTCATTAACGTTGGAAACCTTTATATGTCTGGTCTAGTGGTTTCATTTTCTTGCTTGGCAGGCACAACGACCACTTAAATATGCATTCAAAGGTCAAATCTTAACCTATGACCTAAACCTTAAATATTGACCTAAAGTCAACTTAGTCAAAAAGTCAACGATCAACGGTCAAAGTCAACAAGTCACCACGTTGTGGCCAAAACCATGGTCGCGCCGTGGTGGCTAAAAGACAGAATACTTGTGTTTCAACCCGCCACCACGTCGTAGCCTATATAACGCCACATCGTGGTAACGTCTGACCAGCTTAACCCATTAAGCTCTTAACCTTTATTTTCCAGAGCTTCAAAGTTGTATCGATTTAGGCCATGCATGGATAAAGTTGGAACTTTCCAATTTTATCCATTCCCTAACATCTCAAATCCTAACACTTAAAAGGACCAAAATGACCTAAAAGGTCTATGCATGGCTGATTTTTGAACTGTAACATCCATAAAAATCATGCCAATTTAAAACTTTTTAAAACATTTAAAAACCAATAATTATTACAAATTGTTTCAAAAATAGTTTCATGTTAGAGTATCCCAGAAATCAAATCATAAAAACATAAGGAGGTGCACGATCACGCCTTCGCCTTCCCGCGATCATCTGAAGTACCTGAAACAAAAATCAACAACTGTAAGCCTGAAGCTTAGTGAGTTCCCCCAAAATACCAACCCCATACAAACCATAACAATATCATACAAACATCATGCATAATGAGCCATCAGCCTGACTAAACCGCCTCTCAGTGCCTGCAGTCTATCTGGACCGCTCTCCGAGCCATCAACACGTCTGGACCACCTCGCAGGGCCTACAGCCTCTCCGGACCGCTCGTCGGGCCTTCGACCTGACTAGTACGCCCTTACCTGGTCTGCAGTCTATCCGGGCCTCCCTTGGTATGTTGGCACAAAGCACAAAGCATGACCGCCTCAACCCAACCCCCAATCAAACAATCATGTGCACATAAATATCATACGCTAGCTAGCATGTACAGATAGTCATACATATCTAATATATCACTATTCATAGCATCATCCTATATACCAGGATATCGATCTAACAGATCACTAACATAGCATCATCCTATAACCAGGATACCGATCTAACAGATCACTAACATAACATCATCCTATAACCAGGATACCGATCTAACAGATCACTAACATAGCATAATCCTATAACCAGGATACAAATCATAAACGGTCGACCTTGGTGCCTTAGACCCTGTTGATATAGAGAGAAGAACTCACCTCACAAGTAGTGTAGAACTGGACTGAAAGTCTCCGACCGCTGTCTCACCAAAAATCTCGAACTATCCAAAATAACGAATACTAAGTCAACAATTGGTATATCAATCTTGAACAAGGGTTCCACATAGGGTAATTGTCCATTATTTCCTTTTCTCTAATTTGGGCTGAGGCCCAATACCAAATCCATGATCTAAAAGTCCATATATCCAAAGCCCATTAATGGCCTAATTTTCCCAATTGGGCCTAACTCCCTAATTGGGCCTTATTTTAAGATCCATTACCAAAAATGGCCCAAAGCACAATTATTCAGAAAGTCCAGCAAGGCCCATGTCAAATCTGGCCCAAAAGTGGCCCAACCCCGAAGCCCAAATCGTAAAAATCCCAATAGAGGGCATATGCGGGGCGTACTCCTCTGGTACGCTGGGCGTACTTCCGTCTTGCGTTGACCACCATCGGGGTGGTTGACTCAGGCTGGGCGTACAGAAATTACGTGGGGCCTACGCAAACTTTACCAAAACTCTAATAAGTGCTTAATGACTTAAGCACTTAAGCCCAAATTCCAGATCCATCGACCAAATGTGTCTTAGAACCATAAAGTCTCGAACTTTAAGACTTTGGACGTCCAGAAAGTTCTAAATACATGGTCTTAACCTAAGCCTTTCTACTACATGCATGGGACACTTTAAGCCATGAGACATCATTTTTATCACTTAGGACCCTTTCTAGGATTTGAAAGGACAACTTAATACGTTCAAAACACCATATGCACCAACTTGGGACTTTTGGGACAACAAAATGGTTTCATAAAGTTACCATGGCTAGATCTACATTAATCAAGCATAAAGGTTGGAGCTTTTTACCTCCTGGAGCTTCTAGAGCATAAAGCAACCTCAAGTCTATAAGCTTAGCTTCCTTCTCCAACTTCTTGATGCAATACCTTCTTCTCCAAACACTTACTTTTAGCTCACAGACTCAATAAATGGGTTAGGGTTTGGGAAAACGGCTCAAATCTATGAAGGCTGAGGTGATGGAGGGTTTTGAGCTCATAAGGACGTTTATATAGCACCCAAACCCTAAATATTAGGGTTTCCATCTGACGTGAGTACGCTCAACGTACATAAGTGTACGCCCAGCGTACTAAGGCGCGCCTAGTACGCTCAACGTACCTCATGTACGCTTAGCGTACTCTTCTTGGCCTCAAAGTTGCAACTTTAGCCCTTAGGCTTCTCATGGCTTGACTCTTCCAACCCCAGGGACTATAAATGACAAAATAGTAATAAAAGAGAGGATTCGGAAATACCTGCAAATCTCGGGATGTTACATGAACAAGTAACCAACTTTATGAGACCTTAAGGTCTAGAGGCTACCTCAAACACCATCCAAGGCCCTGGAGTTGCTTCAACTCCAAAGGATCCTCATATAAAGGCCATAAATGAACTCTTAAGCATGAAACACAACTTAATACGAAGAAAGGTATTGGAGTCTAAAAATGAAGAAAGATCAGCCTTCAACTTCAACAACAAGCTTGGAGCACCTTCCCTTTCTTCCAAGAACCTTTAAGATCTTGAACTTGTCAAGAACACACACAAATACACCAAGAACACACACGCACACAAGGTTTCACACTTTGGGGGAATGGAGGCTGATAGAGAGGGCAACCTTAATCATAAGGTTGCTTAAATAGGGCCCAATGCCTGATAATTAGGATTTTGAACTCAGCTGCCACCGCGTCGTGGCCAATTACTCTGCCACGTCGTTGTCTTTTTCAAGATGCGATGCATTAAATGACGTAGTCGTGCCGTGGTGACCCTCCAACACCATGCCGCAGTCAGTCAAATCCTTAAAATTTCAAGATTTAAAAATAATCAACCTAAAAGAATAATACATGCGAAACGGATTACAGCTGCCCCTTGGAACCCTGTTACCGGGTGCTGCCTTCGGTCCCCCGTATTCTCAAATTCACATTTATCTCTTCGAGTATGCACCCACACCTTCTATCTCGATGATTAAATGGAACTTATCGTATCTCGATGTTGGTAATAACTATACTAAAATATGTCGATAATACTAATATCACTAACATAGATTTGCCATATATCAATGTCTATAATCCTTTGTTAATCGATTGATGGAGTTAAGTATGGGTTTAACACGAAACCCTAGACTTTTTTTTCCTGATCCAACCTGACATCAGTTTCTTTTAAAATATTCATTGTTTTCACTGATGGGGACGGATCTTGGAGAAGAACAAACCGACATCGCTACGTGCTACGCTGCTTCCCGTTGTTCGTTGAAATCAGAAATGGGTGTCCCAAACTGCTTCCTTTTGTTCGTTGCCAATTCAAATAATGAGGTGAAGTTGTATTGTATACACAACCATTAAAAATCGATTCACTCTCTTTCTTTACCCAACCCAATTTAACAAACTACACCGATTTTCACTTTTTACTTCCCTTCTCTCCAAGAAACCTCAGAGTCTTCGCGATTTGGAGCCTTGTTGAAGATACAGTGCTGTGAAGAAACAGGATGGAGAATCGGGAGGATCTGAATTCCATTCTAGAGTTTTTACCGGTGGTTCTCCGGTCATCAGCACTCTTCTGGCCTTCTCAAGTCGTTGAAGCACTCAAAGCACTCTCTAAAGGCCCCCAACATAGCAAGGTTGACTCCGGCGAGGTCCTCTTCCTTGCCATTTCTGACCTCCGTAACTCCCTCAACCTCTCCGCTGATTCCCTCGCCTTTTCAACCGCTGATGGTTTCTCCCTCTTCTTCGATGATGTAAGTAGCAATAAGCATCAAAATCAAACCTAATATTGTTCCCACATACAAATTGGGTATCAATCCGTTTGTATCATTCACCCCCTTCTCATTTCTCGCTAATTTTATCAACTAATCAACCAAATTAAGACTTCACACTTCATGAACAGCTGATATCGCGTGCCGAAGCCAACAAATGGTTTGAAGGGACACTCCCAGCTTTGGCAGATTCTCTATTACGGCTTCCATCGATGCTAGAAGCTCACTATACAGGTGCAGATTCCATTACCTGTGTTGGTGCTAGGGCTGGACTCAAAACCAGTCTTCGCCTGTTGAAGTCGCAAGAGCCTGGCATAGTTTTACTCAGCCAGGAACTCATCGGCGCTCTTCTTGCATGCTCTTTCTTTTGTCTGTTTCCAAACAGTAGTAGAGGTGCCAATCATCTTCAAGTGATCAACTTTGATCATTTATTTGCGTATGTGTATTTACATACACTGTAATCGATACTCATTTCACTTATTGTTGCATATCGATGCTCTCAATAATTTCTTCCACACATCTGATTCGAATTCCATCTTTCATCAGGAGCCTATACGACAACTACAACGAAAAACAAGAAAACAAAATCAAATGCATCATTCATTACTTTGAAAGAATCCATTCAAGTATGCCACGTGGCAATGTCTCATTTGAGAGAAAAGTGCTTGCAGACAACCACAATCTCAACTACATCCCTTACCCAAAGGTTGAATCTTGGAGTAAATCTGTGGTCTCTCTATGTCTCTTTGAGGTAAACTCCAATAAAATGATTTCAAATGAAACTATCTCTATTACAAGGACATAATAGTAATTTTGTCATTATAGGTTTGTAATTCAGGCTTAATAGAAGATACTTCAAAAGAAGCTCTAGAAGTCGATTTTGCAAATAAGTACCTTGGTGGAGGTGCTCTAACTAGAGGGTGTGTTCAGGTTTGCTTTATTTTTTCTTCATATAATTAACTTTTTCTTTATATAATTTAATCACCTTATTATATTCTTCTGATTACAGGAAGAAATTCGTTTCATGATAAGTCCAGAATTAATAGCTGGCATGCTTTTCTTGCCTTCAATGGCAGATAATGAGGCTATAGAAGTTATTGGTGTTGAAAGATTCTCTAAATATACAGGGTAAGTAACTAAGTATATTTCATTAGTGAAAAAATCCAATAATATTATCATATTATGTCTATTAACTTTTTTAAAAATATAGATATGCTTCTTCTTTTCGATTTTCTGGTGATTTCATGGATAAGAAAGATATTGATATGATGAAAAGACATAAAACCAGAATAATTGCAATTGATGCTTTAGTCAACCCTGGAGAAAGACAATATAGACATGAATTTCTTTTGAGGTATTTTATATTTGTAATTTTGCATACTTTATTATTGTTGATTTGTGGTAAAGGATTAATGTGATTTGTATTAATTAGGGAGATTAACAAGGCGTTTTGTGGGTTTTCTGACTCAAGTAAGTCTGAAAGGTATCAGATGCTTTTTAAAGATTGTGAAAATTCAGATGTAAAATTTGAAGAAGATGAAATAGGAATTGTTACTGGAAATTGGGGTTGTGGAGCATTTGGAGGAGACCCTGAAATTAAAGCTATTTTACAATGGCTTGCAGCTTCACAGGTGATAATAATAATAATAATAATAATAATAATAATAATAATAATATGATGCAAGAAATAGCAATCTACTTTTTTTTTGTTCAAAAACAAAGCAATTTTCACTGCTATATAGATATAAGGGTTAATATAATAAAAGAGTAGAAGATCTTATATATTGTGTTTTTTTCATAAAAGACATTATATTTTGTGTTTTTTCCGGATTAAACCTCAAATTTGTTTTTTGCCTGAAAAAGATATTGTGTTTTTTTGTTTTTTCTGATCCGGCTCTTTTAGTTATTTTTTTTCCAAACAAATATTGTAAAATATGAGGGCTTTTTCGAGAAAAAGTAAAAAAGTTGAGGGTTTATTTGGAAGCATTTAGAAGGTTGAGGGTTTTTTGGGGAAAAAAAAATACAAAGTTGAGGGTTTTTTCGGAAAAAATTAAAAAATACAAGGTCTTTTTCTGGCAAAAAATAAAGTTGAAGTTTAATCTGGAAAAAACACAAAATATAATGTCTTTTATGAAATTAACTTCTTTTTTTTTTTAAATTTAGCCTTTTTAGCAGTTTTTCCCGAAAAACTTGTCAATTGTGAGGGTTTTTTCTGAAAAAAAATAAAAAGTTGAGGGTATTTTTGGAAAAAAAAAATTTAATGATCGAGGGTTTTATCAGAAAAAAATAAAAAGTTGACGGTTTTTTTGGAAAAAGAAAATTAAAAGATTGTGGGTTTATCAGAAAAAAAATAAAAAGTTGAGGGTTTTTTTCGAAAAAAAAATGAAAAAAATGCAAGGTCTTTTTCAGGAAAAAAAGTAAAGTTGAGGCTTAAATCTTAATCCATAAAAAAACCTAATATATAAGATCTTTCATAATATTAAGTTATTAACCCTAAATATAAATCGGGTAATATTTTTAAAATATAATATCTGAATAAGAAAAAGAAGTTGTATGTATAAATTATAATGCACAAATAAATGAAAGTACATTGCTATTTCTTGCCTATTTGCAATTCATGTGTTTTAGTACTTATTTTTATTTATTTATTTATTTATTTGTATTCAGGCATTAAGGCCTTTCATGGTATATTACACATTTAGCATGGAGGCATTACAAACACTGGAAAAGGTAATTCCATTCCGTTTGTATATGATATGATGTGTGTACAAAAAGTGGATTATATTTTATTGATTCCAAACAGGTAACAAAGTGGATCATGTTACATAAATGGAATGTTGGAGATCTTTGGAATATGGTAATGGAATACTCATTCCAGAGATCAAAGAGGGAAACCGGAATTGGATTCTTCAATTGGCTTTTGCCATTATTGTCTTCTCATGACCCCATGATGTTGGATTCCCCTCAAACTGTCTCGAAAGATTTGGAATGTAAATAATAATTACAAATGACTAAACTGCCCTTTGTTTAGTTCTTGTTCACTAATATCTTTAGATACCTGTAAAAATATTTGATTTATCCTTTTTTTTTTTTTTTTAATTTAGAGAATTTGTTGAAGGGTATTTGAGTATTTAGGACAACATTTTTTCATTAACAAATGACTAAGTTTTGATTTTTGCTGTTGAATGTTGATTTTGTTGTTGAATTTATTCATACATGAACACATAGATACATATCAGTTCATAGCTTTGCTGATTTTGCTGTAAATTCATACTATTTTTGCTGATTTTGCTATTTTGAAGTTCAATTTTTGTGGAATGTTTTTTAATTGATGTTAAGATCTTCTATGTCCATAAACAAACGATTTCTGATTGATGTTAAAATACAAATTTTTTCTTTTGAATGCTGATTTTGCCCATAATTCATCAATTTTATGGGTTGTTTGAATCAAAGATTTTATGAGTTGTTTGAATCAAAGATCTAATTCTTCAATTTTATGGATTGTTTGAATCAAACAAAACAATCCATAAAATTGATGTACAATCAAACATCATGGTTTCTTACCCAGTTAGGATTTCTTTACATAGACAAGCATTTCTCAGTCAGCAACTATCAAACGGGTCCTAATATGTAGTTTGTAGACCGGTAAAAAGCTCAAGGTTGTGCTATATGCTCACTATTCATGAGCCCAAATTTAGTAACCATCATTTGGGAATTGAAATGGGATTAGAAATAGAAGTATATGCATTTTTATTGTTTAGTTTTGATAAATTATTTGTTTGTTCGTTATTTTGGAACATGATATTCTTTGCTAACCAATGTTTATCCTTTTTGATTATTTGGAGTATACATCTAATTATTAAAAGCCTCATGTATCCTTTTGATCTCAAAAACACTTTACATCCTAGACTATTTCGGATTTACAATAAAATCATAATCATAATTTAAAGCAACACGGATATACTAAAAATAAAAGTATTTCTAGTCCAAATCATTGTGCTCCTATCTCCTATCATATAACGGCTACTACCTGAACCTGTAATACATAAAATCTACAACATAAGACCACAAGTCTGATGAGTTATATCATACTCTGTTTTCATGCAATCATATTTACATCTATCTTTCTTTCTTTTCATACTCTACCATTCTTCTCATCATTTCTCATACTCTTATTCTATCTCATCTCATGTCTTACCATCTATTCCCGTACTTGTCTTATGCTTTATCTTCATCTCTTCTCGAGCTCATCTTAGCCTCGACTCATCTCTTTCTTTCTTCTCATCTCATGCCTTATCTAACTCTATTTTACCACTTCTCATGTTATTGCTATGTCTTCATCTCATCTCATATTCTTCTTTTACTCTCTATCTACACTCTCCGCACACCTCTCTCTCTCTCTCTCTCTCTCTCTCCTCATACTTTCTTCTCATTCCCGGGCATGCTTCTCTCCTCTTTCTTTGTCCCATCTCATCTTTACTCTTGTTTCTTCTCTGTCTTTGCCTTTCTACTTCCCTTTAGACCTAAATGGTCTAATCATATATGATAACTTCACCTATCATATAGAGGCACAACATAAATCTAACTTATCGGAGTACCACTATCTGGACTTAGTCCCCTCACTTTGATCCCTCGCAAATCCTTTGGCAACTTCTCTTTTCTTAAATCCTTAGTGGATTACAATGATCCCTTATAGATCCGTTACACTTAATCCCTCACGGATTATATTAAGGTTCTCTAAAGAAACCTCTTACCTTGTTCCACTCATGGATCCATTTTTCAACCTTCTCTAACCACACATAATCTCATTCCCGCAAGAATCATATATCTACATTCACGAAGGAATCATCATCTCATTCCCGAAGGAATCATCTTACTACCTGTAACAAACCGTTATTTCGAATCAATGTAATAGTATGGATCAACTTGCATTTCTTTTTAAAATAATAAAGATAAATTTTTGTATACTATGCGCATTTACATAATCGACCCTCAAAAATAAATTGTTCAATAATCTTAATTGGGATGAATAAGGTGGTAGAGATTGTAACAAGGATTCCAAAAAAATAAAGAAAACCAAAATCCGAGTTATAACGAAGAAGTTATGACCTATCGAAGATCCGCGATAGAACCGGCAAAACACTGTTCAGCGTAAAAAGTGAGTTTTCAATAAAATGCTTTTTAGCCTTAGGTATCTAAATGAAATTTGTAGTATACGTTAAACCGTGAATGTCCATAAAAAGAATGTCCAAATCTGACTTCGTATGAAGAAGTTATGATTTTTCTAAGATTCGACATAGTAGTACACAGCCTGAAATTTGAAATCAAGATCGAACGATTTTTAGCCGACACAACCTAAACGAGAATCGAAGATCTCGTCAATAGTAGTACAACAATAAAAAGACAGACGAAAACGGACATCGGATGAAGAAGTTATGAATTTTTAACGAATTTTCTTGTCCCGGTCTGTTAAAGATAATAATATTAAAAATAAATTCAAAAATTAGCCGACGGAGTCTAAACGAAAGTCGTAGAGTATAATCTCACCTACGTGTGCATATAAAGAACGTCGAAAACGGAGCTCGTATGCAAAAGTTATGAATTTTTGAAGTTCAGGGCACAAAAACCGAGAAAATTCGCATGTGCATGGTCTGGGTTCGGCCACGTAGCACCTTCGCATGTGATATGTGTGTCCAGTCTGTGGCATGACCGAAGCGAGCCACGTCACCCTTCCCTTGCGATCTGCCCCGTGTTCGAGCAGTTGAGTCATCCGAAGCGCAAGTCCAATCCGAAGCCGACGCGTGCCCCCCCTCGCCAGCTGTCCGACGCATGTCCTTCTCTCCCCCTTCGGACCGAACCCTCGCACCCTATATAAAGGTGCGAGATCTCCCGGTTCCTTCACCATTTTTAGCTCATTTTCTCACTTTTTCACTTCTTTCACCACCACAAACCTCCTTACAACCCCCCGAAGCCCCGGTATCATATCCAGCACCCGAAGAACATCCCGAGGCACCAGAAGTCCGCAAGAAAAGAGTCTTTCGGTTTCTAAACCCGACCCTCGCAAAGCCCGGTTTTTAGCAATAAAGCCTTTCTAGCAACGAAGTGCTGCTCAAATCTTCACTACTATCACGTGAGTTTATACCCCTATATTTTCAATATTTTTATAATGTTTTAGGGGGGAAAATACAAGTAAAATACAAGGAAATTTTGTATAAAGAACAAAATTTATTCAAATAGTTTACGATTGTTATTTTTACTAAAATAAACATAGAATTTTACCAGTTCAGGATTTCATATAAAAATAAACATATAAACTATAATATGTATAGTTTATGAGTCATGCATATTTATCAATACAGTTGATGGAACTTACATATTTCTTTTCATATTCAGAATAACTTACGAAAACAACTATATAAATTATATTAAATATAATTTATGAGATATTTACAAAATATCTATTACAAAGATATTTTTCATTATTGTACACGTAACTATAAATATAACATTTGTGAGATACGCTTCAAGTACTTATATAAGTATAAAACAAAAGTCCTGAAAATTATAACCAGAGTCTCCTTGAGGGAGAGCGTGACACTTGTGTATAGATCTATACAGGACTGACAATCCCGCACCAGAGCTGCTTGCAACAGCTAGGTCGGCAGACCTGTGGTGACAATTGTCGTACCATATTTCGACGCCTGAAGAACATCGTGTTTCAGGCGAGGCTTAGGTCATCAAGCATGGTTATGATAACTCACAATTTGGTATTAAATAATGCGTTTAGTGTAAGAATAAGTAAACAACTTCACATAGTTTTATAGAAATGAAACTATAATTGGTGAATTTAGATATTTACAAATTCACAAGCTTTCGTACAAGTATAAATACAGAATGCTATTCTAGTACAGAGAAAACTTACTTTTCATAGTTTTATGTGAATTTAAAACTATATCATACTATTTCATAACACAAATACATATACAACAGAAAATATAAGATTTTCTGGGGAAAACATGTTTACATTTTTCGAAGGAACAAATTACAGATTTCAAATTTCAAACATGCTTATGAACTCACCAACTTAATTGTTGACACTCTTTTCAAAACTACTTGTATTTTCAGGAAATCGATAAACAGGTACCCACAAGTTTTGAGGAAGACGCAGTTTCATATACTTATGTCTTTTAATTATATTTTTTTGGTGTCAAATATACAATGATTTGAACACGAATGTAATGTTATATTTTATCAATGTAATGAATGTTGTACTTTGATTACTATTGTGCATTGTTGTGATACTACACATGTAGTCATTCATCCTCGAATGTTTCGGCCGTTCCGATTTTGGGGTGTGACAGATTGGTATCACAGCATTGTTTATAGTGAACTCAGTATATCAATTCATAAAAGATATACAACTAAAAATTGAATGGGGCCGGAGTGCTCTGACTACAAGTATATTTTTTAAAATATAAGTATTTTATAAGTACACTAACACTCACACATACATAAATAGTATCACAATAATAACTACATAAAAGTATTTGGATGTTGAACATTGCAGTTAAACCTGGACAGTTATGTAATCATATCTGAGATAAATATAGTCTGATCAACTATATTTATTTGAGATATGATCAACATGTGTTTGGGAGTGATGGTAGTGTTGCGACAAGTCTAAAACTTACCAAACTCTACTCATACAGAAGAACTCTAGAACAGAACACAAATTTAAAATACTATAGGAGTATTTTGTAAAACTACATTATTTCTATGCATCTTACCTTTTCTCTCTCTCTCTCTCTCTCTCTCTCCTCATACTTTCTTCTCATTCCTAGGCATGCTTTCTCCTCTTTCTTTGTCCCATCTCATATTTCCTCTTGTTTCTTCTTGTCACTTTGCCTTTCTACTTCCCTTTAGACCTAAACGGTCTAATCATATATGATAAATTCACTTATCATATAGAGGGACAACATAAATCTAACTTATCGGAGTACCACTATCTGGACTTAGTCCCCTCACTTTGATCCCTCGCAGATCCTTTGGCAGCTTCTCTTTTCTTAAATCCT